AAGCCAAGTGTTGTGCTATCAAAAATAAAGGAGGTACGGGCCGGCCCGGTGGCGCACTGGGTAGTGCGCCGCTTGGGAAGCGCGGCGGCGCTCCCGCCCGAGGGTTCGGATCCCACATACAGACCGGCTCCCGCTCACTGGCTGAGCGAGGCGCGGGAGCAACACCGAGGCTTGCGATCCCGTTGCCGGTCCCCGGTCCGGTACGGGGGCAACACTGAGGGTTGCGATCCGTTGCCGGACACGGAAAAAAAGACAAAAGACAAAAAAAAATAAAAAAAATAAAAAAAAAAAAATAAATAAAGGAGGTAACTGTATTTGGTATAGAAGGATAAGGAAATGGAAAAGAGAAATATTTTAATAACAGAATAATTTTAAATTGGAGGAATAAATATCAGCTACTTGAATGTAGAAATCCCTGAAAGGTGTGTTTCCATAATGATAGATCAATGGTAAAAATACAAACAAATCTGAAAATAAAAATGTACATATGTATATGAAATCTGGCAAAAACATTTTATATACAGTGATTATTAAAAAGAAAATATTAGCAGTTGAGATGAAGTTTTGATAGAATGTAAACGCAAGGAAAACCCTGAAAATCTCTGCGGGTGCTCTGGATTACAGATTTTAAGGCTCTTTTCATGAAGATCCTGTTTTGATATACCTGGGATTCTGCATTTTAAAAAGAAGCTGGGTTGATAGTTACCATTTGTGTTTGGGAAATGCTAGACCAGGCAATGAAAACATAAGAAATGGAGAAATGCAAGATTATTATTCCTATTTTTTTTTTTTTTTTAAATGAAAGATGACCAGTAAGAGGATCCTAACCCTTGACTTGGTGATGTCAGCACCAGGCTCTCCCAAGTGAGCTAAACTGCCATCCCTATATAGGGATCCAAACCTGTGGCCTTGGTGTTAGCACCACACTCTCCCAACTGAGCCATGAGCCGGCCCAATTATTACAAAAACTGTGATAAATATACTAGTTTCCTGTGGCTTCTGTAACAAATTACCACAAATTTGGTGGCTTAAAACAACAGAAATTTATTCTCACACAGTTCTGGAGGCCAGAAGTTGGAAATCTCTATCACTGAGCTGAAATCAAGGGCCACGCTGTCTCCAGAGCCTCTAGGGAAGACTTCCTTGCCTCTTCCAGTTTCTGGTGGCTGCCAACAATCCTTGGTTTGTGGCTGTATTACTGTAAGCTCTGCTTCTGTGGTCACATTAGTTTTTAGAGTGTCTGTGTAGTATCTTTCTCTGCCTCCTTTTATAAAGATATGTATGAATGTGTTTAGGCCTCACCTGGGTAATCCAGGATACTTTCCCCATCTCAAAATCCTTAATTGAATTACATCTACAAAGTCCTTTTTTGC